GTCAAATGTAGGTATGGTACATTGCGTTGTAGACTGGAAGAGAGCATGGGAGATATGAAAGCATGAGCGTATGAACCGGGTCAAATATAACCAATGTACGAGACTAGACCAAGAAAGGATGAGATGTAGCAAAATATAGAGCAGGGCCGTATAGCGTAGCGATGTGTATAAGGTCGGACAGGCGCGGAGGTGGCGTAGGCAAGAATCAGACATGACGGGTTCTGCCTGAGAACCGAATAGCAGTCGTAACGGATGGGCTTCACGCCCAGTAAGCCGGCGCAGATATGCCCAGCGGAAGCATCGGGTATTGCTGTTGGGGCTGCGAAGTCGGAGCTGGGACATTAGGCGCTGCCGTGGGTGCTGCCGGTGCGGACGAAGTCACAGAAGATTTCGGGGCAAAGCGAGACTGCACTGCAGCGGAGATGGGCTGGAAGAGCAGCGATGAGGAATCCAGCACAGGACGCTCCTGTCTGACCTCCGGTGCATCCCTCTCGTACTCATCATCGTATTCTTCATCCTCGTCATCATACATCTCCTCCTCCTCCTCTTCAGCTTGCTCTTGGCCCACGGACACGACGTGTCCGAATTGGAACGGAGCCTGCACAGGATACGCAGAATGATGATATTGCTGATGCGTGCCGCCAACGTCTACACGCGCAGGAGCTGGTGCGGACGCGACATGCGCGGGCGTCACACCCGGACCTGAAACCAACTCCGGTTGCTTCGTCCACTCGGGAAGCGGGTGCTGTGGCTTAGGGTGGTACAGGGGTGCCTGCACGGCAGCGGGCTGTTGCGTCGCCCGGTACTCCTGCGCAGCGTGTCCTTGAGGAGGGGCGAGTGGTACGTGCGAGTACATTGAAGCCGGATAAGGCTGTTGTGTGTGCGCGCTCGGGTAGGAGTGGGACTGGGAAGAGCTTGCCGGCAAGTACGCCGGCTGTTGTTGTCGTTGTTGTTGTTGGACAGGCGGCGAATGATGAGACTTCTGTTGTTGTACGCCATATCCGTGATGGATCGAATACATCTGAGCGTGTGGATGGTGTGATGGGACGCTCGCAAAGGCGCTCGCCGTGTTGTTGCGCAAGGTATGGGAAACGGCTACCATCTGCTCCTGTTGCGGCTGCGTGGGATATGTAGCATGATGGCAGTCTTGTTGACCGGCGTAATAGCCGGCATTCAGGGACGTGATGTGCGATGGCTGTGGCGCGCGTTCATCTATTGAGGAATAGATGAGTGGGAGATGTCCATCGTCAGACTTTGTATGACACGCACAACTGAACGACCCAAGAGCATCGCTGAGCGAGTTTTTGCTCTGCATCACCGGCGGCGGTGAAATATGCCACGATTGTTGTTGCTCTGCATATGTTGCAGCTGGAAAGTCTGGCGCGACGATCTGTTCACCCGCAATATACGGGTACGAAAAGGCCGCCGGCGCGTCGCTCACGGGCGTGTCGATTGAGGAACCTGAGGGCGACACATTGGGGTTGGAGCCGTGATAGTCCCAGTCATCCATGGACAGAGATTGCTGCTGGTACTGGCGAGGTGGCGAAGAAGCAGTTGCTGAAGGACGGATGTAAGATGGTCCAGCCTCCGCGTAGTAAAAGTACTCTTGTACATCCATGGCGCGTCAAGAAGGTGGCAGGCCGCACTTGAGGAGGTGCGAAAGGTTGTGTAAGGCGAGAACGGAGTGTAGCGAGAGCCGTCATATATATGAAGGTAGAGCCCCTTATATGTAGGGGCCAAGGTTAGCGCGCAAGAGATCTTCCCGACGCGCGGAGGCGCAACCTGTAATTCTGTCACGTCCCAATTACGGCGGTCCTCGGAGTCGCACCGCGCGGAGATCTAGATGACATGCCTTCCGCGAAAAAGAGAGTGCGCAGGCCATCCCAATTCAGTACGATATGCGACCCGCACCCGGAGCGATCGGGTACGCGGAAACAATGGGTACGATTCGGAGGCGGAACTGGGTGGTTCAGAGACAGGAACAGGGAACCAGGACCAGGCCCAGAGAGGAAGGAGAGCTGGCGTTCCTGACTCTTTGATGAACGCCATAACAGAACACGAGGCGCAGCCGTTGCGGTTGTTGTTGTTCTCCGTCAACCTTCTTCGCCGTTCTCGCCTCGGCAAACCTTTCTATCCGGCCGGTACCGTCGCGTGCCCGACAAAAGCTGCGCCGAGGCGCGGGCTTCGCGTCACCCAGGCAGCGCATATCAGGCAGATCAGCGCGGCTCACGGGCGCGCAAACAAACTTTTGCACAAGGGGAAGAGCCGCCGCGGTTCAGATCGTTCAGAAGCTGTCCGCATAAACTTATGTACGTGAGACGCGGAGAGACAAGACGGGCGCAGTTGTGCAGTGCGGCGCCAGGCGGGAGAATGGACACGTCGCGTGAGGGTGACGGCACAGTTGAATATACGGTGAGCACATACCGCTTAGCCGCTCCTGGGCGCCCGCGACGGACCTCCAGCTGAATGAGGTTACAAACGAGAAGAAGTTGGATCGCATGGCCTCATCGCGTCTGGATCCAGGGATACCGCCGGACTAAACCCTCATTTTCTACTGAATTGCGTAGCCGAAGATGGCGGCCCATGCCTGTATGGGGGTAACCGGCAACCCTGTCCCCCCATCACAATAGAAATATGAAACGGATATACACCTTTTATAAATCACAGGCCGGCCCGAATCCAACCTTCACGTTGCCGTCAGCCAGTCGAGCGCTCAGCGCTCACTGACGGGTACTTCGCACTCGGATCGCAAGGACGGGGAGCATGCGTCTCACAAATGTGCGCGCAACGTGTAGCCGGCGGATACAGCTCGGAGACCTGATAGCGCAGCGCATGACAGACTGGCTAACGCATATCATAGCGCGCCACCGAAGTGCGCGGTCCATTCTGTCATCGGCAGCTGTTGTAAGAAGAATCACAGGGGGGCGTCAGAAGAGACGTACAGAACGTCTACACACTCCGACACCACAAAGGCGATCCGTTTGCGTCGTACGTCGTGGTGCGCGCTTCCGTAGCAGAGCCATGGAACGGGACACATATGCTCCTCCTATTCATGATGGCCATGTTTGCCTAGTGCCGAGACTCTTCGCAACCCAGGCAACCGCCACGAAGAGTAAACGCGGTGAACTTGGAATGAATCCCATTCGTCATTCCGCTGCACGGTCAAATCAACCAACACCGGGTGAACAAGGCTTCTGGCCGAGCACCGCAGCTGGGCGGTGCAGCGTGAAAGGATAGAACGATTTGACAGGGATGCCATCGTGGCGAGAGGCAACTTGCAAGTGGCACGCCTTGTGCCTTCGCGCGCCGTCTGCACGGACTTGCCTCATCCGTCCGTCTTCGAGCTAACGCTACCACCACCTGTTTTGGGTGGGTGGCTTGTGCCTCTAATGGGAGCTTCTCGGACGCTGCCTTGTCTTGATGCAGGAGGCAGAACCCTTATTCTCATGCACTGCTGAGGTCAGGCGCCTAGTGCGGCGTGCCCAGTGCCCGTGGGCTTTGAAGGGACTTATCAAGTTTCGTTCCCCTTCGTCTATAGATCGCATGTTGTTGTTTCCGCTACGCTATCGTGCGTGAGAATGCATATCCCTCCCACAGAAGTGTAGGTCATTCATTGATGACTGCGAAATGGACAGCACCCCATCTCTGCGGTCTTCCAGAGGATGTAGGTCAAGGCGCAGAGTCTGATATCGATCTGTTCATCTCCTGCGTATGGCCTCCCACATCCATGCTAAAGCACACTGATCTCTGGACTCAATTCTAGGTGCAAGGTCTTCCCCTCACGGTGCGGCCTTGACGCCGCGCAGCTCTACCACTCGCCAGACCAACAGACGTGTTCGCGCCACTGGTCATGCATCTTTCCGTTCTCGTACAACCGCCTATCCCGATATAGCACGCTCATGACTATTTGTGCGCCCATCTACTGCTGTATAGGGAACGGACACAGATGCGGCCGGCCGCCGCATCCTTCCCCGTCTCCCCTTCATATACAGTTGTTCAGATCTTCCAGTCAGACCCAGCTTGGTGAGCTTTTGACTCTAGGTTCTCCATATCCGGTTCGACTGGGACGAGGATCGCAAGATCCTTGGCCTCGCCCTACTAGCGTCCACCTATGCCTCGCGTTATCCGGCTAAAAGCACAGTACCGGTCAGGTGCGGCCGCGGAACTGCCCTTTCGCCTCGACACACGCGGTCATTGCCACCGCTCATGTGGACCCTATATTCAGGTCAGCCAAAGACGATCGCCCCGCAAAAGTCTTTCTGGCATGTCATCAACTATTACATATACACCTAGATGGGGTCACGGTCAAGAGGAGCTGAAGAACGTGGACGATGTGAGCCAAGGCCTCATGCATCATGCGGCTACTCTCTCAGAGTCTGAGTCGCCACGGAATATATTGATACTCCTGTCGCTGAAGCAGTCGCCTTCATCTTTACCTCCGCTGTCATTCTAATATTTATGTCCTTACCGAGGAGTATACAGCCATAGAAACGGGAATTTTGAGGGCGGATACGGTGGTCAAGGGTATTCAGATGCTGCTGATATCCAGCCAGATTCCCCGTCTCTCGGTAAAGGGAGGCTAGTCTCTCGGAGCGTTCATCATACTGATGGCTTCATACCAGATGGGCGGCCTCGTATTCAAAGCTTGGCGCGGTGGCTCGGGGTGGCACGATAGCACCACGCAATCGCTGACCAGGCTGATCCCGACGCGAGTATTCAGTCCCGACGCAATACCGACAGTGTCACGATCATCTGACAGACGCATGGTGTACAGTATCAGGGACCAGAAACCATCTCCGACTCTCACTGGAAACGTCGACAATCCGTATGAAACCAGACTGAAGAGACGCAAATCCAGAGAGAGAGATACTAATAAGCGCCTATAATATTACAGCCAACCGGGATGTCCAATCTGGATCCAAATATGCGCGCGAGTACAGGTACATGAGGTCGATAACAGGGCATAAGAGTCGTATGAATCGTAAGTCCGTAAACAGCAAGAGTGACAGCATGACTGCAAAAGAAATAACACATAACGTAAGAGAGAGAGAGAGTAAGAATGTCAGAAACCGGCTGCTTGAAGACCCTTCTTGATATCAGCATGAACGAGTTCGGCCTTCTGAACCTCGTCCGAGCGAGCCCAAAAGTATCGATCGCCACCCTTCGACGCGGCGCGTTCGAGCTGCTTTACGATGAACTCGGTGAGGGGCGCGTATTCGGCGTAGGTATAGTGGCGAGTCTGAAATCGCAGAAAGCTCGTGCTTGCCTCGTACCACTTGGCTCGTTTGACGAAGTGAATGAGCGTGTGCCGTCGTGTATCTGTCTGAACGACAACGTTGTCCGCATGTTGATCCTGCGCGTACACCATCATCTTGAGAAATGGGCCTGCATATGGTATGCAAGCCGCATCGGTATTGGCGACGCTGTCAAGCACAGAGCGGTAGTAGGAGTAATTGCTCCCTGGCGAGTTGAACTTGAGTAGAGGCGTCAGAGTGGACTCGCGTGAGCTGTTCAGCCAGGTGAAGTGGAGCCGCGAGACGACCGTGCTCGAGAGCGCCGCGACGATGGCACTGAGAGACGAGAAGTTATTGGCTGCGCGGCATTTCTTTCCGACTATTAGCTTCTTTTGCCTTATGAGTGTGAATGGGGAAGCACATACATCAGCGACACGGATCCAGAAGTCGACAATGCTCGCGCGCTTTCCCAAAGCATCAACCTCGAGAATTGAGAGCTTTACCCAATCCGCCAGCCGGTCGTACGTTGCGGTGAAAGCGGCCATGTGCGCGACGGTCGGGCCCTCGCGAACCTTCGTCCAGATGAAGCACTCCTGCCGAAGGATGACGCGGTAAAGAGCGTGCTCGTACAGACACAAGTGCTGCGCCATGTCCCAGGGATCCATCTTCGCCAGATCCGGCTCACCCTTCCACTTGCGCTTCCACCGCCTCGGGGCTGTAAGCTGTGGCGGATCTACACTCTGTGGTTCCGCGAACGTCAACCGCTTGAGCGTGGCGAGAATACCCTGAGCAACAGTTTGTAGTGCCGGTGGAGTTACGATGAGGGATAAGAATTCTTGCAAACGCGGTGCAATTTCGTGGCTCTGGTTGAGCAGATCATGTTCCTCGAGCCATTGAGACAGAACCGCGAGGACCCGGCGTTGCGTTGGTCGCAGCTTCTCGCGCTTCCAGATCTCAAATTCGGCCGTCGTCAGATTGGGCGGTGCATCCATCTCATAGTGAGAGATCAGGAGTTCGAAGACCTCGGTCGGATTGGAGAATGTGCGGAAGGTGGTCAAGAAGATGCGACGGAAGTTCTCTTGCTGCTCCATCCCTACAGTCCGTGTGAGATGTCGTGGTGAATAGAGCGTACGCATGATACGCACGCAACGGGTCGATGACCAGCCTCTCGACGAGAGCCGGGAGAGTGCCCGCCTTCACAGTACCATCGTATTCTAGCTTGATCTCTTCGTCAGAATGCCGTGGTCGCATAAACCAGGGCAGATTGGCCTGCGCGAGCTTGGCGTCGTGGAACTTCTGAGCATCTTCGTCGCCGGTGATGCGCTTGATCTTGTCTGGTTTTCTATCCTGCCCGCGTGACACACGAGCCAAGATCGGGCTGTCGGGCTCGCTTGGAGACGGGGGTGCAGACTCCTCGATTTCGGCCGCTAACCGAGCCTGCTCGATGGAGCGTGACGGATCGAGGTTGTGCGTCTGGATGAGCATGCTCAGACGTTGGTGCGATGGTCGGTCATTGTCCTGCGCTTGCGCGAGACGTGGTGAGGGGACGATGAGGTCGCCGCTCTGGCTGCGGCTATGGCGTATGCCCCATTGGGCAGGCGGTGAGAACTGGAGTGGAGAGGCAGGGAGGGACTTGTCGACGTGAAGCTTGGAAGTGGAAGCGGAAGGCCTATTCGGAGGTGTTCGTGTGGGTGTCTTTGGGTTTGGCGTTTGCTGTACATCAGCTTTGAACGCGGCCTGAACGAGAAGTTCAGCGTCCAAATCGGGAAGTGCCATTGTCTGAATACGCACACTCGTGGGATCGCGTGCCGTGGAGCCGGCTGTGACGACCGTACCTATCGAGTGCTCGTCGAAGGCATCCGTATAGGCGGTCGTCGATGTCTCGACCGAGAACGTCGTCGAGGTTCCAAAGTCGGTCTCCTCCTCCTCATCGGAAGTTTCGAATTCTGTCGGCGCACTGCCCGACCCGCTTCTGCGTGCGATCTCGTCTTCCTCCCGTGCATACAGTTTCGCAGCGGTGGCGTCGGGTATTTTTCGCACGTACGAGGCCGGAATCCAGCCGACCTGAGTGCCATCGCCGCGCACGGCGGCCCACCAGCCGGTGTTCTCCTGCTTGACGACCTCGAGCACTTCGCCCTTCCTGAAACTGAGGTGGCCGGGGTCCTGGGAAGTAAAGTCGTAGAGGCAGGCGACGGAGCAGATGCGCGCGTACGCCTCGCCTGCCGATGGCGTCAGCGACAAGTGTATCCCCCGCGAGCGAGCGTCTCACCCACCGGAAGGCGATTCGTAGCTCCAGCCCACGTTGCGGGCCAGGAGTGCGGATATGGGGGATGGAGATACAGAGTTGTCAGCCCCGCGCCGATATACCTGCGCAGGCGAAATGAGAAGTCGTAGTTGCGGCTGGGCCATGCCGGCCAGACAGCCTATTAGTATCACAGTGCAGGACGGAGAGAAAGATCAATGATGTTCCCCTCCTCCCTCATCGCCGCGTCTGACACCGCCCACATTGTTCTCATCACCACTTGCATTCCCTGGGAAACACGCTTCGTGTGCGCGCGCGCGGGGCAATCCACTTTCCTCTATCTCTCTCACTCCGCCCGTCATCGAGGGCTTTTGCACGCCACAATGCATTACCACGTATCCACGGCGTGAAGCTCTCTTGGGTGCAAGTAGTTGCCGCCAATGAGAAGGAAAGCCATCGCCGCTTTCGGTTTTCCGCTTCGGCCTCTGTAGTCTGGTTGTCATTCAGCGGTTTCTTGGCTGTGGCACGCTGTACAAAGTCTCAGTGCTGCACGTACCTGTATCCCCCTCTCCGTTTGAGCATACGGGCTTCATAATGTCTCTGGCGCTTTCCTTCCGCAGAGATAGCGGACTCAATGCGGTGTGTCTTGACAGGATATCGTGCCGTGCGCGTCCGTTCATGATGATGGAAACGCACGCCAACCATCATCGCGCGTTCAAGTGGTGCCGCTCACTACGCAGTCTGCCTCGGCTGGGTTGTATCCCCGGGTCATGTCCAACGGCTTTGACGGAGGTGTCAAGCGAATCATCCTGTCCGACTGATATTGAGTCAATCGGAGCAACGGTAGTCTGACTTTCTTTCGTATGGCTGCGTGCAGTCGCGTTTCAAAACACTGACGATGGGCTCACTGAGATACTGCAGTCGAGCCAGAGAATGGCTCTAGAAATGCTATTTTCCAAACTATCTCATCTCTCCGGCATAATCCTGGAATAGACGCTGACTCTCACCGCCAGTCTTCAGACCTGCAGCATGCTCACGGAGGTCTGGCCGGTGCCATAGTTTAGACCAAGTAGCTTTACACAAAACAGGCTAAACATCAGTTGTTCTGAAGTGAACTTGAGGTTCAGTTTGAAGTCCGAGTGCAGTTACTAAGATCTTGTGGCTGAAACCAATAGTTGGTACAGAACTATGCGACTCGTATCTCGACGTGCACTATATCTTATCTTACCATGGCACCTAGAAACCATGCGGTTGGATTGACTCTGCATATCATTGTAGACATCATGACGACCATCAGTCGATACTGGGAGGGAAAAGAATAGATCTTACGGTCTTGTTTCTGCCTCCGATCACAGCCACGCGACGTCGGGATGACGTGCCGATATCCGGATGCGTGAGTGCACCGGTGCGCATCTTATCCGCAACACTCATCCTCAAACCATCATCTCTACACGTATGCCGCCGTGGAACGGAACCAAAGCGAAAGTGCGCGTCCCGCAAGCACTGTAGATCTTCCTTCAGGCTCATCCGTTGCACGAGCAGGTCCAGCTGCGGTGCGGACGCGCCTCAACCTGCATCGGCGACGTACGCGCTGATTGAAACCAGCCTCTCCGTCCAGCGACTCCGGACGTTACAAGAGAAGAAGGAAGCACAAGCTAAGATGGCTCGGAGGGATGTTGCGATGCTCCTGGAACGCGGGAAGATTGAAACGGCGCGGATCAAAGTTGAGAATAGTATGTCTTACATCCATAGCTCTACCGTTATACCTGGACATCAGAGGGCATATAAACGCTGAAGACGGCGCTGACCATGTTTCTTTCGATAGTCATCAATGAGGACGTCTATTTGGAGCTTCTAGAGCTGCTCGAGCTTTACTGTGAATTGCTGATCGCTCGCTTCGGGTTACTGGATCAGAAGTATGTGTGGTCTACATGATACTCCTTCACCTTGTCTGAGAATTCTGCAGCTCGCGTGAGCCAGACGCCGCTGTTAGCGAGGGAGTGAACGCAGTGATACACGCCGCGCCACGAACGGAACTCAAAGGTACGTTGCTTAGTTGTACGATGCAGTCAGACTCTCCCAAGTAACCTCGCTGATGACTGGGATCCAGAACTGCACATACTTCGCGATCTCCTCATGCACAAGTATGGGCGAGAATATTCGGCTGCCATCATGGAGAATCGGGATGGGGTGGTATCTGAGCGAGTACGTACCAATCCTTCCCGTTCTCGACGCGCTGTAGCCGTGTTCTCGACATTCGGTTCACATCGTCAGACGCTGTGTACGCACTTCAGTGGACGTTGCTCGAGCTTATCGGCATGACCGACACCCTATCCAGTACGACCATGTCGACATCGCTCATTCGTATGAGTCCCGCAGCGACGAGACCATCGGCTAACAACATTGTTCGGTTACAGGTTACGAAGAAACTGGTCGTCGAGACACCGCCAGCAGTGCTTGTGAACGCATACTTGTCTGAAATTGCTAAGGGCTACGGCGTGAAGTGGTCCCCGCCGGAAGATGACGTGGAAGAGCAGGTGCCGAGCACCGACGACGTTGATGATACACCAGACGGCGGAGTGAAGGTTCGGGTGATCTTACGCTATGCTTCACCTGAAACTAAAGCGTACACAGGAGCCTACCTCTCCACTCGACGCTGAGCACCTGCCACCGGGTGTGGGTGTCAGCGATTCCGTAGCTCGCGAAGGCCGCAAGACACCTCGCTTACCCGAGCTACCACCGACCGAGGATGAAATCGAGGGTACGAAAGAGGCGTCGGCGGCGGCGGAAGATAAGAAGGCCGTCTCGGAGAAAGGCAAGGTACAAAGCAAGCCGGCAGAGCCTGAAGACGACTTCACCATGCTCGCCAAGCGGTTCGAGGCGCTGAAGAAGCGTTAGTTCGGTCATGGAAATATCGGGGTCAACATGCCACTTGGTACTTCGTTTGCATGGGATACTCGAACGTATGTGTTGTCGATCTTGCTCTAACGGTTGTAAACGCCGTCTGCAGTATGGAAAGTCATATATGTCTCAAGTCATACCGCCGCATCATATGTGCTTCCTTGGGCTATACACCCAGAGATATCGCAGTTAACTCCGTTGACTAGACCTGCACATAAAGGAAGTTCCGATGTCTTCGGTCGCCGCTCATAGCCCACGCCTCGGGCTGCGGTCGCAAGTCTGCCCGAAGACCGAAAGACTCTTATTCAGCGCTACAGACCACATACGCAATCGGTCCACCATACAATCGATCGTGAGCACGACGATCCTAACTCTACGCAGCCGTTGCAGCCGGTTCTCGCGACTCCCGTACCACCCTGAGCTAGGCCATATGCTTTGGGGGCTAGGCAGACTCTTCGTCTCAAAGCATATGCATATGCGCACATAAGCATAGGAGGTTGGCGGTATGATGAACATGGCGGCGCGTGTGAATGGAGATGGCAGCATTGAAGTTGCCGGCGCGACAAGCCTTTAGCGCACATTTCTCGCGAACGAAGGTGCACCAATTTGTGCGGGGTGACTGTGCTTTGCAATTGAAGAGTTCTGCGATATACATTGCACTGGGCCTTGTCCCTCAGACATGTGAACGACGCGGTTCCGGTGAGCCAAGTGAACGATCGTCACAGGGTCAGATGCCGGATGCCAGGGTCAATGGTCGTATTATATTGGGTTGCACAAGGACCTCGGTATGGTGGGAACGGTCCACGGTACCTTGTCGCACATGAGTATGCCTCTATGCCCTACTCAGCTATGCTATTATTGCAGGCGGAATAGTGAGGTCAACGTTGACACTCTGCGCGCGAGCGATGCGCAGCAGAGTGGCACGTCGCGACTCGCAGCGAAGACAGCTTGTAGCGTGGGGTGTAATGTTCATGTTCTGGCCCCGGTTGTTGCCGTAAGAGGGTATGCATTTGCGCGATAGAAGAGGCTGCGCGCGCCTTGGCTCGTCGAGAATCTAGCACCAAGTCTGAACATGCCGCACGGACCAGCTCTAATAAGGCTGCCAGATGGTCAGAATATCATGGATACGTTTAAGGGCTACCTGCGTAGCGCGTCACTGCGCGTCACTCGATCGCGGACATCGGTGTGGAAACTAGGGACAAGGGCCCTCGGCAAGCTATCCGCTTGCTTTGAATTATCGCAAGGAAGTTGCCCTACCAGATCTGGAGGCTAACATGTGGTACGAACGCATGAGAGTGAAGGACCGTGCCACTTGGAGATGTATGGTTTCAAGCGTGTGTACCGCACACGACCACCCGGCAAGATGACGCAGTCTTGTCGCGTCGGCGGAGAAGAACACATCCCGCGAGATCCCAAGGGGAACCAGCGGCGCGAGAGTGCGATTGCCACCTGTGAGGCAGAACCGGTTCGTGTAGCTGGCGCGTAGACGATTCCATGGTCAACTCTGACCTTATCCGACTTACGCCGGGGAGCATCTTGGAGAGAAAACGATACCCGGGAGATCGCCTCGAACGCCTGAGGAAAGCGTGTGTAGTTTGGGTGTCTGCATCACCCGTTGGCTTGATCAACAGAACACAGAAAGCGTCCCTGCAGAAGTCTAGCTCTTAGTTTATTTGTGCCGCCAAGAACAGCCTTCATGTCAGTACTGAGGCGTAACGCATACTAGAGGATAAGGTCAAAATCACGTCGGGTCTAGCTATGCGAATCCCGGCGCGAAGAGCCGTACCGAAGCCGTACTCGGGCATGTTTGTCCAGTCATAGGAAGGCTCATGACGCGACGGATCGAAGAGGTTCACCGCTGCCAGGGATGTTGCCGTGGTGCGTAGTCAGACCAGCTCGGGCACAGGGAAGTTAAGGTCGCGGACCTCCCGCTGCCAGGCCTCTCTGATAGAATATGGGTTGCATGGACCCACATGTTCTATAGGCTAAAGTGATGGTACAGGCCCACGGAAGTTGAGTGGGAGATTCTGACGTCGCTCGCTGTTGCAACAGAGATCTAAGATCTGCACGTGGCCCATCCTGGATGTTCGCCCGGCGGTCGAACGCGGGGCGCGGAACGATTTCTTGACCTCCCATGCCGACTCGGTATTTCGGATACCACCACGGTGACTACACCGTGTCCCGGGTCTCTATATAGACAGGCGGAGTTGCCTTGTGGCGATCCGTCCACTATGTTCATAAAGTCTCTTCGAAACTCTTCCCGCAGGACGCCACCTGTGCCCACAGCGGACCGCTCGCGCTTTTCTGGTAAACTCAACGCGAGCATTCGCACATCGGACCTTCTGGCGCTCGACGACGGATTGCAAGACGAAGCCATGGACTCTGACGCCATGTCTGTCGATTCTGCCTCCTCGAGGGATGCCCCGAGCTCGGCGACCTCTCACGAAGATGAAGGAGACGGGGATGCATCCACGCGTTCAGGCTCACCGGCGCCATCTATGTACTCGATGACCGACTCCATACGAGCCTCTTCCTACCGTCACGAGTTTGGCCGCAGCGTGAATAGCTATTCCGATGTATACTTGCTGCCTGCAGATGAGGAAGAACTGCAGCGGTTAGGTATGCGTGACTTTGCTGTCCGCTGGGTGCGCTCGGGCTCATAGCCCGTGCGCAGACCTCGAACACATATTGTTCCAGCGTCTCATGGGCAAGTACCCTCCTCCGATGCCTACTATCCTCGCGGAGGATGTGTCCGCTGGACCGAAGCGTGTACTCGACCTAGGCTGTGGGAGTGGCACTTGGTACGTTCCAGTGATCCTTCCGTCAGCCAAGCACTGGATCTGACTTCATTCGCAGGGCTCTCGAAGTTGCACGGGAGTTCCCCCACTGCGAAATTGTCGCAGTAGATCTGGTGCCGATGCAGAATGAGTAAGGGTTGTATCTCTTCTTTGTCTGTAATGTTCCGCTCAAGAATCACGGCGCAGGGATATGCCTGATAATTGCAGGTCAGACTTGCGTCCTCACGAATACGACGAGATTATATTGCTCACTGGGCTTGCAGGAGTGAAGTCGACGACATCAACCTAGGGCTGCAACATTTCTTCAACGATTTTGACGTCGTCCACGCCCGATACATCTCTGCTGGGGTGGGTGTGTCTGTTTGGCTCTCTACACGGAGTATCCTCGAACTGAGTTAGATCCGCAATTACGAGCAACTCGTCGATCATATGGCTGAGGCGCTACGTCCCGCGGGCCTGATTGAAGTGGTAGAGATCGGCTTACGACTCTATGACCACAATCGTGAACCTATCATTCCGAACCTTGGCGACGACTCGCCTCACCTTGCTCGGTGGATGGCGCTGCTCAACATGGCCGTACGGCAGCGAGGTGGCAGTCCGGATGCTGCAGATATGCTACACGAGTGGATGAGCGTCCAGCCCGCGCTCGAAGACGTCGTCTATCGAGACTATTATGTTCCAACTTCGCCCTTCATGTCACTCAAGGATCCATATCACTCCTTGTCGGAGCTCTTCCGCGAGGACCTATTTGTTCGTGATTCCCCGCGTTTTTCTCATGCAATACTCAATGTCACATGAGTAGGCATTCCTCAAGTCTGGACGTCCACTCCTCTTGAAAAGCGGGCTCTCAGAGTCCATCGTCGATAACCTGGCCATGAACGCGCATCAAGAACTACGAGATGCGCGCACGCCCACTTACATCCGCGTTCAGTCCGTCTATGCTCGCAAAGTCTTTCCAGCTCACTAGATCGTTTGCTCTGTCGGCATCCTTTGTTATCCTCCGCATGCTATCGGTGTTACACGCTGCTTCGTCGCGCTTTGAACTGCACATATACCACGCTCCCATCATCCTCATCATGGACTACAACGACATATACCGATTGCCTGCTATATGCGCACCGTATTCCACTCCGCCGTATAACACCCTTAGCCTTCGTAAGTAATTTTAGGAGCCGTCTAATGAATGCACTTGAAATGCTATTACACTCCCCCTTGAAGCTGTCAGTATGTATGTATGACGTCATCAGTCCCGAGGCCGCACAAGTCCAAGGAGAGAAGTGTGATTTGTAGTGGAAGTGCGGGCACAGGCTAATAGCTGCGGGGCGGCAAGCGCGGGCCGTGGCGGTCGAAGCGCGTCGTGCGAAAACGAAGCTAGGGCGCGCGTCAACGCGCGATGCATATGGTCCCGACGCGTCTTGGTCCTGACGCGCACGATGGACGCGTCCTTTCCCTCGGTTCTTGATACCATCATCCACCCTGAGAGCAAGAACGCTACTCAGCTGCTCAATGCACTAGGCCTTGCCGACGTACCGTCAAGAGAGCGCGTACACCGTGAGATAGAGGAGAGACTCCTCTTACCACAGGAAAAACTCCCAGAGGACTGGTTACCCCAGTACCAAGAGTGCGTATGTAGCTTGTAGAGTGACGAGGCAGTTGTATCATCGATGAGTAGGCACTGGGAATCTGTGCTATCTGTCCCATCTCTTCTGTCCATGGCGCCGGCTCCGGCCCCCACTATGCTTTCCTTCGTCCGAGGCGGCCTGGGTGGGCGTGTTACCGGTTATACTGAAGTACGTTCCCACCATCAATGTCCCTTGTGAATCTAGACAAACAATATGCCAGTCTCTAGCTCCTCCTGTCGTGACAGGTTTGACTTCTACTGCCATTGATCGTGCACCGGGACCGTCGAAGAACTTTGTCCGCGGCAAGTCGGGTTACGTGCCATTCTGGCCGGGTGGACTGGAAGCTCTCTTGCCTGAAGCCGAAGATGAAGAAGGCGTTATTGAACAGAAAGGATTACGAACGGTCGCTCCTGGACTTTCCCGCGGGTTAAAACTACCAGGCGATGAATCAGAAGAAGATGCAACGTTGCAAGAGCTCGATGGTCTGGGAGCCAATGCAGTACAACACGATGCGGTGTGCATTGTCTTCCAATGGCAACTCGCCGCAATGTTGACCTTCAAACAGAGTGGCCAGGAACCACTGTACGAAGATGCACCGTTGCTGAACGGCGGCGGTGCAACCTACGGGTCATCCGAGATCGATGACCTTCTGCCAACGTCGGTACGCAGGGCACTTACTCGTACCCGGTCTTCACACTGAATCAAATCTCACAGCGCTCACAATTGAATTCCGTTTCGGCCGCCCATAGGCCGTCAAGAAGAGCGCATGTACAGAAACGGGACTGGGCACACGTCATTGATGTAAATAAACCCATGAAGAATTTTCACACCCTTGTTCCGGAGATGGCTCACAAGGTCAGTATAGTAATCTACTCGTGCCCGAGATTAAGCTTACATGCTCGAGTGTAGTATCCGTTTGAGCTGGACACGTTTCAGAAGGAAGCCGTATACCATCTTGAGATGGGCGACTCTGTCTTCGTCGCCGCTCATACCTCGGCTGGAAAGACTGTCGTTGCTGAGTATGCTATCGCGCTTGCCGAGAAGCATATGACACGGTGCGTCAGTATCTCCGCAACGTAGCGCTTGCTCTGAGGTTCTGCTTATGCAATTAACCTAGTGCGATCTACACGTCCCCTATCAAAGCTCTATCGAATCAAAAGTTCCGCGACTTCAAGCAAACGTTCTCGTCCAATTCTGTCGGTATCCTCACTGGTGATGTGCAGATCAACCCGGAGGCAAACTGTCTGGTGATGACCACGGAGATTCTGAGAAGCATGCTCTACAAGGGTGCGGACCTCATTCGCGACGTCGAGTTCGTAATCTTCGATGAGGTTCACTACGTCAATGACGCAGAGGTCAGCATTAGGCGCCATATAGCGATCGACTCTTACCCTGACCACCCCCATTAGCGTGGTGTTGTATGGGAAGAGGTGATTATCATGTTACCTGACCATGTAAACATCATTCTACTGTCGGCGACGGTACCAAACGCGCGGGAGTTCGCAGATTGGGTCGGGTACGTGGAACATCTCTACACTGCCCCAGACCTTCTGACCGATGTGACAGGAGGACGAAGAAGCAGGACATATATGTCATCTACACGGCCAAACGCCCGGTACCGCTGGAACACTACCTGTGGGCAGGGCGGGAGATGCACAAGATCGTTGACGCGAACAGAAACTTTCTCGGTCAGGGGTATGTCAGACGTGTCCTGCAGTAACCTCATCACTTACCTTGTCTTAAAGGTACAAGGATGCCAGCGAAGCTCTCCGACGTAAGCAGGATAAGGAGCGCGAAGCGGCCGGCTTACCTCCAGTTCAACGTGTTGGCGCTCGTGGTGGCGCACCCCAACGTGGGCAGCAACGTGGTGGTTCTCGTGGCGGTGCTCCCACTCGTGGACCTGTCGCCAGAGGTGCTCCTGCCCGTGGAGGTCCGTCGCGCGGCGGTGGACCAGCTCGCTCCTACCACCAAGTGGATAAGAGTCTCTATGTGCATTTGATCGGTCACCTCAAGAAGAAGAATCTGCTTCCGGTTGTCGTATTCACATTGTCGAAGAAACGCTGCGAGGAGAATGCTGGATCGCTAACGAATGTTGATCTGTCGACCGCTGTCGACCGGAGCGAGGTTCATGTGGCGGTCGAGAAGGCCATTGCCCGCCTCAAAGGTGGTCAAGATGATTACGGCGTGGCGACCATCGACTAAGTGTTCATTCACAGGCACGGACCGCAAGCTCCCCCAGATCGCTCGTATGCGAGACTTGCTATCAAGGGGCATTGGTGTACACCACGGTGGCCTGTTACCCTTGGTTAAGGAGGTCGGTGCAGTAGTCTCACTCCGGATCGCCTCTGATTGATTGTCAGCTTGTCGAGATATTGTTTGCTCGCGGTTTGGTGAAAGTCCTCTTTGCAACAGAGACCTTTGCGATGGTCAGATGGCCGCGGATATTCTTTTCACCTTGCGTTCATACTCAATGTTGCATAGGGAGTAAATATGCCAGCAAAATGTGTCGTCTTCTCGAGCACGAGAAAACACGACGGGCGGAGTTTCCGTGACATTCTTCCAGGGGAGTATACACAAATGGCTGGCCGTGCTGGTCGTCGCGGTCTTGATCCCACTGGAACTGTCATCATTAACGCGGCAGACGACCTACCCGAGGTTCGTCGGACGTTCCTATACCCTCCGCCGACCTTGAGACACATTTTCTTTCTAGCAAACCTCGCTGCACACTATGATTCTAGGGAAGCCCGGTCGACTGTCTTCTCAGTTCCGTCTCACGTACAACATGATTCTGAATCTGCTGCGGGTGGAAGCTCTCAAGGTCGAGGAGATGATTAAGCGCAGCTTTTCGGAGAACGCCTCTCAGCGGCTCCTCCCGGACCAGCAGAAGAAGGTTATCGAAGTACGTGGCCGATGTCCACGGATGCCGATCCTACACATGCTCATCCAACCTTCAGGGCGAGAAGCAATTGTCGAATCTTGCGAAGTTGGAGTGTGAAGTCTGTGCCGAAGACATCTATCGGTACTACGATGTCTCCGCCGACCTCGTCGAATTGAACGAGAGACTTCTGGTTCTTGCCGCCAATCATATTCAGGGATCAAAGTCTCTGGTTTCCGGACGAGTCGTGGTTGTTCGAGATGGGGTACGAATCCTATCTATGTTTTTGACTCCCACGCTGAAATGCCTTCAGCACTTCCGCTGGAACGTAGCCGTACTTTTGAAGCCAGCTCCGGCCCGTGAACAGGTCAAGTATTACTTCGTACTAGCGTTGGTGAATCCGACGACGAAGTCTGGTGATCTCGGTGCGTACGCAAACGCAGTACTGAGACGTGTTCTCACGCGGCGTAGACCAGGAAGCGCAGCTTGTACCGCCACGATGGCCACCCGCCCCGAGCGACCTACCTGTCGCCGATGCGACGTATGACTTAGTCGCAGTCCCCCTTACAGCTATTTCCCTCGTCACCAACCGAACGATCAAGGTGCATGAGGTACATTATCTGTAGAATTGACGCTAAATGTATGCAGGTGGATGTGGACGCCATCGTGGAAAAACATCTCAAGTCAGTCATGACAGACACCATTCTTGCGTTGGAGTCGCTTGTGGAGGAGTGGTCAGCGCATCGATCCTTGCCGGAACATGATTGGGAACGCATGCGCTCCCTTGACTTCCAGGAGCTTATACATCGGCGTGGTCAGCTTGTGAAGCAGCTTGAGGGAGCAGCTTGCACTTTGTGCGCAGGCTTTGAGCAGCATGTAAGCTTCTATCGAGCCCTGATGTTACTCCGTGCGCTCACCGCGCGATCCCTAGTATACTACCGTGCACTTTGAGAAGATGCTCCGAGCGAATATCGCCAACCTCAAGATGGCCATATCAGACCAGAATCTAGAGCTCATACCCGACTATGAGCAACGTATTGAGGTCCTACAAGAACTCAAGTTCATTGATCAGAATTCGACCGTGCAGCTCAAGGGCCGGGTTGCTTGCGAGGTTCGTACCCCCGCGCTTGTTTCATTCGCGGATACTGATGTTCCTAGATTAACTCGGTCAACGAGCTCGTGTTGACAGAGCTCATTCTCGAGAATACTCTCGCATCCTACGAACCGGAAGAGGTTGTCGCGTTGTTGTCTGCATTCCTATTCCAAGAGAAGACCGACGTCGAACCCGTTCTTCCTCCGAAGCTACAGGAAGGTCGTGACGCAATCGTACATATAACTGAGCGCGTCAGCGCGGTTCAGGATCGACACAAAGTCCCGGGTGACAACTTCAGGTCTACGCTGAAATTTGGTCTTATGGAAGTGGTGTACGAGTGGGCAAAAGGAATGGTACGCGATCTATTGCTCATGCACGCGTAGGGCGGCGTCTAACGCATGCTTCGCAGCCGTTCGAGCAGATCTGCGCCTTGACAGACGTTCCGGAGGGAACGGTTGTTCGCGTCATCACGCGCCTAGACGAGACATGCAGGGAAGTCCGGGATGCGGCACGGGTTATTGGCGATGGTGACTTGATGAAGAAGATGGAGGAGGCTCAGCTCATGATCAAACGGGATAGTACGTCTTCTTCGCTGGTGCTGAGAACTGGATAGGATACTCACCGCAGACACAGTCATATTTGCAGCATCCTTGTACTTCTAAGTAGACAATTTTGCTGTACGCTAGACAGTTGGGGTAGGTCGCTGCGAGTCAATGTCAAAGCGATGGCACATGACATTCGCGTCCGACGCCGGTCGTTGCGAGCATCGTGGCCCGCAAAAGAGCTTTGCTCGAACGCCAAACATGCATGCACGCTGTCAGGGATTGACGGCCACTCCCCGAATTTCTGTGATAAGCCAGGATTATAAAGTCGACGGCGACCATCGTCCTCTCCTCGTGCGTCTGTACCCCATCGCCGACCTGTCTCGATCTCATTGCTGTCATGGCCTCCTCTCGCGCAGCCTCGCCCGATGCCGAGTCGGCTCTTCCCTTTGCCTCTGAGCCCTCGATCTCTCCGGAGGCTGCGGCGTTGGCCGCTGCAGAGCGCCGTCGCGTGAACCCGGAGAGCCTTGCAGCGCGCCTGGGTCCCGAGGTCGTTGCCGAGTTAGAGCGCCATATTGAGCCTGGCAGCATCGAGATGCCCTCATTCAGTGTTCGACGTAAGGTTCAAGTCGACTTTAACGTCGATCGCCGCCACATCTACGACTTCTACCACAGCCGAGGGCTGCGCTGCCTCAAGAACGAGCGCTCCACTCGGGCGAAGAAGAGGGAGATCGATACCGTCATCATCGAAGACCCGCCGGCAAGTCTTCTCCTTCGCAGGCTGTCAACCTTAGGCGCTCACATCACATTCCAGACTTCCCGCTCAAGATCTTCGCGCGGCCTCCCTATCCCCGACTATAGCGAACCAAGACGTCGGCGACGTGCCGCACCCTACGATATCCCACCATCACCGAAAATAATGCGCAAGCCTCGCAAGTCTAGCTCGGTTCCCGATCCAGCTCCTATGGCTTCTTCATGTACTGAGCTTTCGAACTCTCCTCCTTCCTCATACGCGCCCACACCGGAGCCTTCTGGCGGACACCTCCCTTCTGCAACGCCTGTCGACGTTCTTATGTCTGCACCGCCGTCTCCTCTAGGCCTGCCAGAAGCACCTCCTCCGTCACCATCGCTGTCCAGCACTGGCTCTAGCTCGAGTACGGATTCCTTCGAAAGCTTGGCCTCCATGGAACACTATCTGGCCTCTCTTGAACCCGTTGACTTCAATATTATCGTGTCCACTGCCGACACCGACAATGAATCGTCGGGCGAACAACCTGCAGATCCGGGTGTTGTGCCTCCATCACCCTTCAGTCTACTCTCGCCTCAAGAAAAGCAGCAGCCCTACTCGTGGCTCAGCAACGTTCTCGGCCCCGCCAACGGCATACAAGAATGCGTGGGCTCGTATAAACAATACATGGACCAGCAGCGCGACGCCTACTACTCCCCTCTCGTCGACAACGATCTTCGCCCGCTCAAGGCTCGCGTTCACTCCGTGGGCCCCACTTCTGCGGCCTCGCTCTCCTCCGGTAAACCTGCCCTTACGTCCACGGAAGCTACACTGCGTGCTGTATCGCGCACGATGCGCGCATCGGCGAGGACCTCGCTTGCGACGTCCGGTTTGCATCAGCCACGGCCAACGCCCATCTCACGCCCGAGCACAACTAAGCCAAGTACAGAGAACGTCCCCTGGCCTGCGGTGCGCGCGCCAGTCCCTGTCGTCGCGCGCCCCTTGAGCGCGTCGTTCCTTCAGCCACTTCGGGCCTCTACATCCTTCAATATGGCCAGTCGGAGGCATGGCGCTCAGCATTCTGCCAACTCGGCGGAGAGACTTCAAAATGGCGCTTCCAATTCTATCCGGCGCCAGGACCCTGCAATAACGCCGTCCGCAACCTACACCTGGTCTCACGGCATCGCAGGCCACAGCATGTGACGCTCGTACTTATATAATAAGTCTCATGTATACTAGCAATCAACTAATCCTTAATCCACGCGTTGCCTAATGAAAGTGGCCATCCAACTTGTCCTTCAGTCACGTTCAAAGTAGTGTGAAAACCGACCTAAACTCATATGAAGTACTCCATCATCAATATGGGAGACGTAACGCTGTCATTGATAAGGAAGATATAGCAAGATATATGTAGCGATTATATTGGTGCTGTAAGAGCAGGATTAGTGCGGATCACGTGCGATCGGAGCTACAACACTATTTCTCGAGCACTTTGTACCTGGCACAGTCCCCCTCCAGGCGCTCATCGATGAAGCTGGACGTTAGTTCGAGCGCGCGCGCTACACCTTGAGCATCGATTCTCGGGAAACCGATTGTTCCGTATTTGAACGCGTCGCTGGACAACATGCGTACAGATAACTTTGGGTCCGTTGCCCGGGCCAGCAGCCGCGTTAAGTAGTTCCACGCTTCTCTCCATTGTCCTTGGGTGGATTGCCTTTGTTTGCTCACGACTAGGTGGCGCAGAGCAGGGAACCCGTCGGAGGGAGCAGCTTTCGCGCGATAGATGAGTGCCGCGGCGCAAAAGTCGAGGAAGACGGTGTGCGCGGAGGTGAAGACATGTCGTCCAAACGCGCGCTCGAATGTTGACCAGTCCACCGCGTTGGAGACGTGCAGTTTCTTGACGTCCAGGGTCGATACGTTAGCGAGGAATTCGGCGAGAATGGAATCGCGCTTGTGCGCGTCGTTGAGCCCTTTCTTGTAAATGCCGATTTCCAGCGTAACTCGCGGCCGGTATCGGTAGAGGGGTCCTTTCTCCACTAGATCGGAGGATTCGAGAGCGATGTTCATGCAAGGGTGCAGTGTGCCCGACCGTCCCCCACCGGAAGTGTCCAGGAAAAGGTTATCATGCGATTGATGCGTCAAGTACGACTTGAGAGCACGAAGCAGCGGAACCGTCGTGAACAGGTCCGATTGAGGGACGACGGCGTCTACGACGATATGTACGCCTGAAGGGAAGACAACCTTCTCGCAGAAGGCTGTGCAGCCGGCCAGCGAGCCTTAAATCTCGACGTATCTCGCGTGGGGAAGATTGACGGTGCCGGTGACGCCGGCCGCGGACTGTATATGCAGCGGAACCCAGACCTCCAGGTGTTCGATATTTGGCGCGCATCGGAGGGACTTGAGGATGACTTCGAGGGTGCAGTCCATCCGGTTCTTCTTGCAGCGCAAGCATAGTGATCGGAGTTGCGGGGCGACGACTGCGAATGTTGGTTCATTTAGAGTGAGGCTGCGTAGATTGGGTGCATTGATGGAAAATGTGCCGGGAGTGTCGTTCGTGTATGAGCCATGGGAAGTGAGGGACAAGACAAGTAGGCGAGGGAAGTCCTTATTCTTCATGCGCTTGTACCAGTGCCTCGGGTTCAGGACAGTATCCGTCAATTCACGGATGCGCCCGGGGCTGTTCGCCACAAAGTCTCTGAATACGGCACGGTTGACCTCCGGTAAGTCCCTCTCTAACGTGATGACGACGTCCGTTTCACGAGCTCGAGCAATAGCGGCTTGAGTGAAGGCGTTGACGTTGGGAAACGCAGAAACATTTGTTGCCCAGAGAGATGCAAGATCCAGTCCGATAGCGCGCCAGCGACGGCAAACGTGTGTTACGTTGATCCAGCCAAGGGTCTTGCGAGGGGGGTATGCGTAGCGCACAGAGCCAGGAGGGTCAATTACGGCGAGAAGATAGAGTATTTCGCAAACAACGTCTGCTGGCAGACGATCAGCCCCGCGAGACACGAGAAGAGACCTTCATACGGACTCGTCAGACTCCAATGCAACAAGCGCGCAACTTTGAGGGTTTGACATACATCCTGCTCGTGAGAGCTCGCGAATGGCGAAAGGCAACGCGCACTCAAGCATTTGCGCAGCGCTCAGATTTGAACCATCGGTCATCGGCCCATCGGGCCGTATAGCGGCAAATTCCGAGAATGAACTTGGCTTGGCACAGTATGGCACGAAGGCTGGCAAGACCCCACAGCACCATTGAAACCAGTTTCAGTCGTACAAGTATTGAAGCTTGAGTCTCATTACGCGTATACTAGGCGATTATGTAGGCGAGGTCGATCTGACGTGGTGATGTGAGCATCGTGGCCGGCCGTGCGAGCCTCGAGGTGACGCGTGAATGGATGGGCGCGGCGCGAGACGCGTCTATTCCAACCGAACAGTGTACGAGCACAAGCTATGTCCGAAGACGACCGTGCAGCCAAGGCAGCTCGTGCGAGGGCCCTCGTGCGTATATAAACTCCTCTGCAGGCCCATTGCTGAATAATATTATAGTTGAACAAGAAGAAGGGCAAGAAAGCTGCAGGCGGACCCGCGCGCACGGACACTGCTTCTCCAACACCGTCCTCGGCCCGCGCCGCCTCCCCAGCCATATCCGAGGGCCTGGTGTCGCCCACACCACCGTCAGCAGCGAAAGGAGCAGATGTCGGCGACCTGTACGCTCACTTTACATATGCTATATCCACTTCACCGACCGGGAATATACTCGCAGGTTCGCGTCGGCGCCGTCTGGTGGGACCGACGACTGGCTCTCTGGACTCTCTCGAGAAGAAGGATCCCCAAGTATATTATCCCCGCCGCCGCCGCAGACATCCACTCCCGCCTCTGCACGCTCTCCGCCGCCCGCCGCCTCCGCAGCATCTCCAACACCGAACGTGCACGCACCCGCACCTCGGTCCGCACAGTCTATTGCACCACTACTATCACCCCCCGCAAGCGCCGTGCCATCGCCTCAACCACCATCCGCCGGACCACCTGTTGATTCGGTCGAACTAGATGCGCTTCGGGCTCAGGTTCAGAGCGGACAACAGACTATCTCGTTACTCGTCGCGGAGAAGTCCTCGCTTTCGGCTGCATTGGACAAGCTCAACGGCGCCCAGAATCGTAAGCGGCCGATCCATTCTAGGGCATGCACATACGTCTGATATTTTTATAGAAGCAGACGAGACGTTGCAACTATTGGAGCAAGAGAGGAAAGCTTCGCAAGAGTTGCGTTCACGTGTTGCAGCCGCTGAAAAGGAAGCCTCCGATGGAGCGGCAAAGTCCAAAGAGCTGGTAGCAAGGGCCAGCGCGCTCGAAGATAAATGCAAAGAGCAGGTACGCCCCGTTGATGAAGAATGCGAGACTTCCATTCTTGAGCCTGACGTCGGACACGGTAGGAACGCGAACTGCAGCTCACGAAGGGCGCTGTGGAGGATCACAAGACCGAGGCTGAGGAAGCTTCTCGTCGCGTACGCGAGCTGGAGGACCAGATCCAAAGCGACGACCGCGCCGAACGCGCCGAGGCCGCGCTGCAGAACATTCAAGATCGGGCAACGGAGCTGGAGTTACAACTTTCGAAGCTCAAACAGGTACGGACGCGTAGTACAATATGATCAAGAACTCTGCTCATACACAATATAGATACACTCCACTCTGAAGGCCGAGCGCGATTCCCTCGACGAGAAACTCGCTGCTGTCACCGAATCCGAGTCTTCCTGGCGAGCGCGTCATGCCGCCGTCTCAAATCAACATGCGCAATTGACGAAAGACATCACTGCCGTTCAAGCTGAGCGTGATACGCACGCCAACAAGATTTCGTCTTTGGAGACCGAGCTTTCGAACACCAAGGAGGCGCTATCAAAGTCGCAGGCAGAGGTCTCCCGGTTGACAAACGAGCATATCGCCTCTATGCGCTCACTACAGACCGCGCAAACGGAAGCACGTGCTGCATCTCGCCGTGCGGACGAGGCAGAGCGCACTCAGGCAGAGCTTCAGGCAGAGTCGTCGCGTCTATTAGCTGCGCTTGAAGAAGTTCGCCCTCGGGTAGTGGAGCTGCAGGATGCCCGCATGGCGTTGACCGAGAAGGTCAATGCTCTCGAAGCTCGCGTTCGGGAGCGAGACGCAGCCATCGCGACTCTGGAGGCCGATGCACACGAGGCTCAAGCTCGCGCAGAGGCCGCAGAAGAGCAGTTGCACGAAGCACAAGCTATTCAGGAGCGGGAGCGTGCTCAGGCTCAAGACGCGGCGGACGAGCTACAACGGGGATACGCCGAACTGCAGACTGAGCTGGAGGAGGCGCGATTAGCTGTACGAGACCTCGAAGTTGAGCGCGCGACCAATCGACAACTGGTCGCTCGTCAGACGGCAGAGATTGAGTCCTGGTCGTCGGAACGCAGCGCGTTGCGTGAAGAGCTGGCCGCTGTTCGACATGAAGCCGACGAGGCCAAACTTGCGCATTCGGAGCAGGAGGAGTTCCTCGAGCGCGCTCGGACCGAAGCTGAGAGCTTACGCACTGAGCTCGAGGCGCGCACGGAAGAGCTCGCGGCGGCAGTTGCGGAGCGCTCCGGTCCGATGTCTCCGGGTTTGGGAGAGGAGCTTCTATCAAGCGTGCGCGCCCAACACGGACTCGAGCTCTCTGCGGCGCAAAGCCAAATCCGCGCCCTGCAAACGCAACTTTTCGAGGCCGATGCCAGAGTGCACTCGCTTCAGAGGCAACTGGCGGCGGCCGAGGACGCGCGGGGGAAGCGACCGTTCTCGCCTGATCCCAGCCGCCCAGCCAGTCGAGCCGCCCGCACTTCAAGCGACGAGCTCCGTCGCACGTCGTTGAGCCGGCGGGTATCCGGTGGCGCTGGAGGCGCCGCACCATTGCAGCAGAACGCGTTCTCTGCGGGGCTGAACCTCAGCCCCGAGACGCGCCATAAGCGCAAGGTTAGCCTTGGAATGCTGAAGGCGCGCATCGACTCGGAGGTCGCTGCGGCCGTCGCGTCTGGCGTTACCAGCCGCGCTGTTAGCCCCGGTATGCATGCGCACCCGCCGGCGTTGGAGACCGTCAAGGAGGACGGGGCTGGAAAGCCGCAGTTCTTGGACGAGAGTCATATATTCTGGTGTTCCTCATGCCGTGGAGAGTTGGTTATTCTATGAGCTACCTGGATAATGTACTTAGGACGATTTATTCCGGCTTATTGCGTTTCTCAAACCACTACTCGCGGATGAATTTCTTGCGTTGGTCGCTGAAGATGCAGTTATATCCTACTACGATTGGGCACAAGGGTCGTAGACTGTGTCATAAATTGGTATATTCAGCCATGTGTATACTTAAGTACGAGAGCAGGAGAGGTAGGTCTGTAGGATAGATCCAGAGCTATGGAAACAGTGGTGAGGGCAGATTACGGATTACAAGTGTATAGATAGAGGTGTACAGGATAGCCACGAGTCAAGTGTCCGAGGGCATGGATGGAATCATAAATCTTGACGTGTTCGTGAAGACACTCAGAGGCGCTTGGTCTTCAACTTGCGCAGTTTCTGGAGCAGATCCTGCGCCTCGTGAGGCTGTAGCCCACCACGACGGCTCTCCTGCTCGACATCCTCTTCGATGCTTTCGAGGATGTCGCCGACGAGCATGCGGTAGTCAACGCCGAAGAAGCTGGTTAGCTTCGCTGCACGTCGCCGGCGCGTCTGGAAGGTCTTCATGGCCGGTTCCTCCGCAGCGGTGAACTGAGAAGCGAGAGAGAGTTGGCTCGCGCGAACGGGAAGCGAGCGTCTACGAAGAGATTTGATGCTCGACGCATCAGAGGTCGAGGGAACAGGCGAGGCTGCGCTCGTTGTATTGGTCGGCGTCGGTGTCGTGGTGCGCACATCCTCGTCATCGCTACCGGGCAAAAGCTCGGATGTCGAAGTCAAATACTGGTGTATCTCGGCTATGCTCTCCTTGTCGTCCTGAAAGGGATGGGGGCGTGATCAGTACTCTGGTTGTCCCACATGGGGCAAAGTCACTCACGCGGTCGATCATGTCGTTCAGTGAATTGAGCGAGAAGCGGTACTGCATATACACAGAAGAGGTGCGCCGTGAATGGCCGGAAGGCGAAGGGTCTGCGAAGGGATTCGAAGGTCCATCCTCGCCGAGAAGGTTTTGCATGCTCTCGGAGGCTGTGCTAGTCCGACGCCGAGGTGTACGGCCGCCCGAGGTAGCCTTTCCCTTGTTGATGTACGCTGACTGGTTCGGATTGCGTGAGGTCGGTGACGAAGAGATGGGCGAGGTTGCTCCGGGCGAGGTCGCTCGTGTGTGATAGAGCGTCTGTGGCGGCGGGACGCCGAAAAGCTACGTGTAATCATGAATGTCAGCCAGCAGTCAGTGAGGAGTTGAGAGCGCCGCTTACTTTCTCCATCTTGACGGCCCTCCGAACGTTCAGAGCCTTCTCTCGCTCGTCAAGGTTAGCCTTGACTCGCTCTCCATCGTCGAACCAACGAGTTTTCATCTCAGCGGCAGATGATGAACGACGGCGTAGGCGCTTCCACGCTTTCGGATCTGTTTCCTGTGTTGGTGGGTCGAAGACGGGCTCGGGTGAAGGAAGAGAGTTGTCGTCTGCGATGGTGCCGAGGACAAGTTCTGCGGGTACGCGAGAGCCGAGGTAACGATGCAGCTTCGCCAGCCGGTCGCGTTGCTTTTTGCGGTTCTCCTGGGCGACCTCGATGGTGGTGAGAGAAGCGACACTGAGGCCAGAAGGTGAAGTGGGGCGCTTGAGTCCGGACCGAAGACCATCTTCTGGCGTGGAACCTTCCTCGTCCGAGAGATCAATGAACGAGCGCCGGTCGCCAGGGCTAGCTGCTCTTCGCGAGCGCCCCGGCCTTCGCGAACTCCGCGAAGAGTCGGCGATCTGCGCGGAGTCGCTGAACATTCCCGCCAATGAAGCCGTATCGAGCGGCGAGGGAGGCGCGCTGAACCG